GGATTACTTGAAATGGAGAATAAGAGGCAATAATTAGAAACAAATTTAATGAGTAAAAGCAAACATACAGTAAAGGTAGTAAATCAATCTCTTATAAAACTAGTATGAAAGTGTAAAAGAAAAATGTAGTAAAATCAATTACATCTAAAAAATTATTTAAGGTCCAGGAAATAAAAGATACAAAATATGACATTATATACACGAAACTTGGAGGGCGGATAAAAAAATTTTATGTTTTTAGAATGTGTTCAAACTTCAGCAACCACCAACTTAAAATATAAAATAGACTGCTACATACATAGGATATTATATATAAACCTCATGGTAACCAGAAAACAAAAACCTATAATAGATATGCAAAAAATAAAAAGAAAGGAATCCAAGCATAACACTAAAAAAATACTAAATCACAAAGATAAAGAGGAAAAAAGGACCAGAGAAGAACCATAAAAAGAACCAGTAAACAATTAACAAAATGGCAATAAGTATATACATATCAGTAATTACTTTAAACGTAAATGCACTAAAAGCTCCGGTCAAAAGACACAGGATAACAAATGGATTAAAAACAAAAAACAAACTAACAAAAAAACCCTTAAGACACATCTACATGCTGCCTTACAAGAGACTCACTTCGACCTAAAGACCCATGCATATTGAAAGTAAAGGGCGGAAAAAAATATACCATGCAAATGGAAGTATTTTAAAAAGAAAAAAACCAAGGTGGCAATATGTCAGACAAAGTAGACTTTAAAACAAAACTATAACAAGACACAAATAAAGGCATTACATAATGATAAAGAGATCAATTCAATAAGAAAATATAACCATTGTAAACATCTATGCACCCAACATAGGAACACCTAAATACATTAAGTGAATAATAGAATACATAAAGGGAGAAGCTGATAATGATGCAGTAATAGTAGGGGACTTTAACACCCACCTACATCAATGAACAGATCACTCAAACAGAAAATAAGGAAGTAATGGCTCTGAAAAACACAGTAGACCAGATAGACTTAACAAATATTAATGTAACATTCCATCCAAAAACAGCAGAATACACATTCTTTTCAAGTTCTTTTCATTCTCCAGAATAGATCATGTTAAGCCAAAAATAAGACTCAATAAATTTAAGAATACCAAAACTATATCAAGCTTCTTTTCCAAACACAATAGTATGAAGCTAGAAATCAATTACAAGACAAAATTGCAAAAAAACAGAAACACATGGAAGCTAAACAACATGCTATTAAATAAATGAATCAATAAAGAAACCAAAAAGGAAATTAAAAAATGGATGGAGACAGATGAAAATGAAAACACAATGATCCAAAATCTCTGGGATGCAGCAAAAGCAGTTCTAAGAGGGAAGTATATAAGGATACAGCTTTACCTCAAGAAACAAGAAAAATCTCAAACTTTAAACTTACATCTAAAGGAGCTAGAAAAAGAAGAACAAATCCTAAAGTTAGTAGGAGAAAGTAAATAATAAAGGTGAGAATAGAAATAAATGAAATGGAGATTAAAATCAATAGATAAGATCAATGAAACCAAGAGCTGTTTCTTTGAAAAGATAAACAAAAGTGATATATCTTTAGCCAGAGTTATTAAGGTAAAAAGAGAGGATTCAAACTAATAGTATCAAAAATGAAACACAAAACAAACCAACACTACAAAAATACAAAAAACTCTAAGAGAATACTACACAAAATTATATGCCAACAAACTGGACAACCTAGAAAATGGTAATTCCTGAGAATATACTATCTCCCAAAACTGAATCAGGAAGAAATAGAAAATATAAACAGACCAACTACTAGTAACAAAATTGAATCAGTAATCAAAAAATTCCTAAGAAACAGAAGTGCAGAACCAGATGGCTTCACAGGTGAATTCTACCAAACCTTTAAATAAAGAGTTTAATACCTACTCTTTCAAACTACTCCAAAAAATAAAAGATGAAGGAATGCTTCCAAATTCATTCCATGAGCCAGAATTGCCCTGATACCAAAACCAAAGACACTACCAAAAAAAGAAAACTATAGGTTTTCCTAATATCCCTAATGAAAATACAAGGCAAAAATCCTCATCAAAGTATTAGCAAACCAAGTTCAACAACACATTGGAAGGCTCATTTATCACAACCAAGTGGGATTTATTCTAGGAATGCCAGAGTGGTTCAATATCCACAAATCAACCAACTTTATACATCCCATTAACCAAAATGAAAGTTAAAAACCATACGGTCATCTCAATAGATTGAGAAAGCTTTTGACAAAATTCGACAACTGTTCATGATAAATCTCAACAAAGTGGATATGGAGGGAACGTAATTCAATATAATAAAGGACATGTATGACAAATCCACAGCTAACATCATACTCCATAGTGAAAAACTGAAAGCTTTTCCCTCTCAGGAAGAAGCCAAGGATGTCCACTGTTGCCATTTTTATTTAGCACAGTACTAGAGGTCCTAGCTACTTCAATCAAAAAGGAAAAAGAAATAAAAGGTACCCAAATTGGTAAGGAAGAACTAAAACTGTCACTATTTGCAAATAACACGATACTATATACAGAACACCTTAAAAACTCCATCAATAATCTATTAGAATAAATGAATTCAGTAAAGTTGCAGGATACAAAATTAATATATAGAAATCTGTTGCATTTCCGTACACTAATAATGAAGTAACTGAAAGAGAAATTAAAACAATCCCATTTACAATTGCACCAAAAAGAACAAAATACCTAGGAATAAACTTAACCAAGTGAAAGACCCATACCCTGAAAAATATAAAACACCAATGAAAGAAATTAAAGATATACAAATGAAAAGATATACCACATTCATGCATTAGAAGAATATTGTTAAAATGTCGACACAACCCAAAGCAATCTGCAGATTCAATCCAATTCCTATCAAAATATCAACAGTGATTTTTTAAGATTTATTTGAAAGAGAGGAGAGGGAAAAAAAAAAAAAAAAAAAGGAGGCGTAGCAGAGGGAGAGGGAGAATCCCAAGTAAACTTCCCATCGAGCATGGACCCTGATGCAGAGCTTAGTCTCATGACCCTGAGACCATGACCTGAGCCAAAACCAAAAGTCAGATGCTCAACTGACTGCCACCCAGGTGCTCCAATACCACCAGTATTTTTCACAGAACTAAATAAATAATCCTAAAATTTATGTGGAACCACAAAAGATCCTAAACAGTCAAAGCAATCTTGAAAAAGAACAAAGTCAGAGGTATCACAATCCTGGATTTCAAGACTTACTACAAAGGTATGGTAATCAAAATAGTATGAGACTGGCACAAAAATGGACACATGGATCAACTGAACAGAACACCCAGAAATAAACTCATGCTTATATGTTCAATTAATCTATAACATAGGAGGCAAGAATATACAATGGGGAAAAGAAAGTCTTTTTCAATAAACTGGGCAGTTACATGCAAAAGAATTTAACTGGAACACTTTCTTACATTATACACAAAAATAAACTCAAGGGCGCCTGAGTGGCTCAGTGGGTTAAGCCTCTACCTTTGGCTCAGGTCATGATCTCAGGGTCCTGGGATCGAGTCCCACATTGGGCTCTCTGCTCGACAGGGAGCCTGCTTCCTCCTCTCTCTCTCTCTCTCTCTCTCTGCCTGCCTCTCTGCCTACTTGTGATCTCTGTCAAATAAACAAATTCTTTAAAATAAATAAATAAACAAGCACAAAATAGATTAAAGACCCAAATGTGAGACGTCAAACCATAAAGCTCTTAAAAGAAAACATAGGCAGTAATCTCTTGGACATCAGCCTTAGTAACATTTTTCTAGATATGTCTCCTCTGGCAGGGGAAATGAAAGCATAAATAAACTACTGGGACCACATCAAACTAAAGAACTTTTGCACAACAAAGGAAAACAAAATGAAAAGACAACTTACTGAATGGGAGAATATATTTGCAAATGACATATCCAATAAGGGGTTCATATCCAAAATACATAAAAAACTTCTACAACTCAACACCAAAAATAATCCAAATAAAAATGGACAGAAAATGTGAATAAACATTTTTTGAAAGAAACCATACGGATGGCCAACAGAAAAGATGCTGAACATTTTTAATCATGAGGGAAATGCAAAATCAATACCACAGTGAGAAATCACCTATACCCATCAGAATGGCTAGTATCAAGATAAGAAATAGACAAGTGTTGACAAGGAGATGGAGAAAAGGGAACCCTTGTGCACTGTTGGTGGGAATGTAAATTGTGCAACCACTGTTGAAAAAAAAAGTTTCCCTCAAAAAAAAATTTTCTTTTTAAATAAAGATAGCATACAATCCAGTAATTCCACTACTGGGTATTTAGTCAAAGAAAATGAAAACACTAATTCAAAAAGATATATGCACCCCTACATTTACTGCAGTACTATTTACAATAGCCAACTTATAGAAGCAACCTAAGTGTTTATCTACAGATGAATGCATAAAGCCCTAGTGTATATACAATGGAATATTAGTCAGCTATAAAAAGAAATGAAATCTTGCCATCTGCAACGACATGGATAAACCTAGAAAGTATTATGCTAAGTAAAGTTAAGTCAGACAGAGAAAGACAAATACCATATGATTTCACTCTTATGCAGAATCTAAAAATGAAAACAAAATGGAAATAATAACAAATACAGAGAACTGATAGTTGTCAGAAGGGAGGGCAGTCAGGGGAGATAGCAAAATAGGTGAAGAATATGAAGAGGTACAAACCTCCAGTTATAAAATAAATAGGTCACAGGAATGAAAAATACAGCATGGAGAATACAGTCAATAGTGTAGTAACACTGTATGGTGACAGAATGTAACTACACTTACCGTGGTGCGCACAGCAGAATGTATGGGGAGCTATCAAATAACTATGTTGTACACCCAGAAGTAATATAATTGTATGTCAACTACATGTCAATTTTTTAAAATCAGGTTTGCCTCAGATTGTGATTCAACTTACCAGGTGGTAGTGGCTTCGTATCAGCATCAAACACCAGTAAGTCTTGTTCTCCTTCCCTGAACTCAACACGGAGAATGTCACTAAGAGCTCCAACAAGTTCTGTCACATTTAAGAAGCCCAATTTTTTTGGTGAAAGTTGCTCTTTAAAGATTATCTGTCAAAAAAACCCCAAAAAACAGAAATAAATTAAAACATACATAATAGGAATATAACATACACAGATGCCCTTAAACAATGCCCCTTAATTTGGACTTAGTCAAACTAAATTTGTAAGGGTCAGTGAACTCACGTATTCCAGTATTCCTAGAGACCTAAAATCCCTTCCAGGCCAGTTTCAAGTTCCTTTTAAAGTATATGGTAAATTGAAGTGAAAATTAGGATGGCTTTTGACCTCTCATTTTTAACAATGTCTGATTATAAAGCAAAAGTCTTAAAGGGGGGGGCGATGCACAAAATACAAAAGTCATAACAAAACTGGCTTTTTAATTTCTTTTCAGTGTAACAGATTTCATTGTTTATGCACCACACCCCGTGCTCCATGCAATACGTGCCCTCCATAATACCCACCACCAGGCTCCCCCAACCTCCCCACCCCTCTCCTTTTCAAAACCCTCAGATTGTTTTTCAGAGTCCATAGTCTCTCATGGTTCATCTCCCCCTCCAATTTCCCTCAATTCCCTTCTCCTCTCCATCTCCCCATGTCTCTTTCTTATTTTCAGACAAAGTATTCACTACCACTTTCAACATGTAATAAAGTAATACTACTTTAAAATATTTCCTTAAAATTTCATGATTTCATCCTAGATGTTTGGATTAATAAGCAGGTGTCAGTGTAACTCCTACAGTACTGCTCGATTTTCTGGACTTGCAAAAGAAGAAAAATTATACCAAATATAGAAAAATATATATGGGATATATACAAAATACGTTTGGTTTAAACTGCACAATGAATTGAAAGTTTGCCCTTGTTAGTGAGATCCCCCATTAAAATGTTCAAATTCCTAAACCTCTGTCTCCCTAACCATGGTAAAGCCACTGAACTAATCATAATTCTTTTTCTGTTCCTTTAGCTAGACCAGGAAATAAACACTTGCTCTGACTGCACCACCTTGGGGAAAACTGGCAGGAACACAGAAGGTAAACAATCCAAAAGAACGAACTCCTGACAGAGGATGGGACTGCATACCTTCTTGTTCATGGACACTATGGGACCTAACTCAACTCTTTATGACTTCTCCCAAGACACTTGAAAAACAGAGGCCCAGCATCAGCCAAGTCATTGTTTTAAAGGGTCGCTAATATACATCTATAGCTAGTCATGAATATACCAAGAGAGAAAAGTCTGGTAGAAGAAAGGGGAAAGATAATGGTGAGTGAGACTTGAATCTCTCCTTCTTAGCACATTATATATTATGGCTTCTTTCCCTTTTATGTTCATTAGTCTCTTTATTGGTTTATCTTCTCTGTAAAGTGCCTAGTATAATGAATATGCCGGCCAGTCAAGCACAAGACTAATCTGGGAAGGATTTCATTAATTTTTTAATACATGTCATTTAGGAGTCTCAAAAAAGTATATGGCAAAACTAAGTCTCTGACCCAATCCCATCCTTCAGTGGCACAGGAGATCTCTTCCCTGGAGGTAACCAATTATTCCACGTTCTTGCATAAACCCTCCTCTTCAGCTTCTTGAGCAACTTTCTAGAAACTGTCAAAATCTGAACACACAGCATATTTCGGCATAATAGATTATATCTATTGTACATTTTTCAGTTAATACAGAGATAATCCCCTATCAGTACATGACACAGTTGAGTTCTGCTTTGTAGATGGAGAATTAGTATTAGTAAGTTGGTTCTGTCCATTGATGGATATGTCAGGTACATTTTTTCCTTAATTTCTTTGTTCCGTCTCCAGCTTTACAGACTCCCAACCATAAGCACTTCTCTCTTCCAATTCAACTTAGAGTTTATATTTGTGCCCTCAAATATATGAATATATCCTATTACATGATTTATTTCCTCACTGTGTGGATTTTGCAAGATGACACTCCAGTGCAAAAACTGTTTTCTGTTTTCTGGATCAAAGGCTTGGTCAGACTCATGCTCTGTGACTTGAAGCGATGCTGAATAATTATAAAGAGGCATATAATGTCTGGATGTCTCTTTTTTGGTGGTGTCAGGAGCCATTCCTGGTCCATACCTAGATCTGCTATTTTATTAAGGATTTTAACATAGTGAAATTCTATCAATTCTTTTTTGTTATTTAGTTGGAACATTTTATGGATATGCTCCCCTCATCAGCTACCGGGTTACCCAGTCATACCAGTTCATTTAGCAAAGCCAGGATAAGTGACTGGCTTTCTTTTTATTATTTTTCAAGAAAATAAATTGGTTCTCTATCATCCTCCATGATTACCAGTTAGTTTTTAATATCATAGGAACTCAAAGAATTAAACATCTGATGGGCTTCAAACCACTGCATGTATTAACCTTACTGATGATTCCCAAAGTAAGTCATCAAGTGGATTCCTAAGCCCTTCTGATGTGAGCCTAGTCTTTAATAGGTTCCTTATTAGTCTGGAATGAAAAGATATTCCAGGTTCTGTTTATGCAACTATAATATGTTTATACACACAATTAAAATTATCCTGTAATTGCTTCCATCTATCCCATAATTATTACTATGCTCTATAGCACATTATACAACAGTCTCCAAATTGAGTAACAGGACTAACATTAGCACCATCAATATAATAAAAGCAATTAAACTTTTATGCCTATGCTGACTACTTCTCTGTCATTTCGTGGAATTGTTCTTTATCTACATTATCAGACTATATAGCCATCATGTACTATATTATCTCCTTCTAACCCTCATTTGCTCTTACTTTTACAAGGAGCGGTCACTGTCAGTTCTTTTGTTGTTACCTCTCAACAGTTCCAGTTTTCTTAAGTTCATTCAACAGCAGACTCCTTGAGGACTCAGGAGAACAATAGTTCTTGAATTCTCGCATGGTGATGACAGCTTCTCTGGTGCTCTATACTTGAAGGTTAATTTTGCTAGCTATAAAATCCTTGGCCTACATTTTTTTTCCTTGAGTATATGAAATATGTTATGCCCTTTTCTTCTAGCATAAAATACTGCTGTGAAAATATCCATAACCTAATTCTGTCTCCCTTATAAATCACTTGCTCTTTTGGTTAGATGTCCAAAGGATTGTTCTTTTCCTTTAAGTCCAATAATTTGATGTGGGTCTTTCTGGTGAACATTCCCAAGTATGTCATGTGTTCTTTCAATACACAGCTTCAAATCTTCCATTTTAGTAAAGTTCACTCAAACTATAGTTTTCAGTATTTGTTCTGTTTCACTCTTTGGTTTTATTATTTATATGTTGGCTCTTCTCTGCATGTTTTCAAAATCTGTTACTTTCTCTTACGTCTTTACCTTTGTTCATTTTTTCTCACATAGTCTTATAAAAAATTTCAAACATGCGGCGCCTGGATGGCTCAGTTGTCAAGTGTCTGCCTTCAGCTCAGGTCATGATCTCAGGTTCCTGGGATTGAGCTCCGCATCAGGCTCCCTGCCCAGCGAGGCGTCTGCTTCTCCCTCTCCCACTCCCCCTGCTTGTGTCTCTCTCACGGTCTCTCTCTATCTGTCAAATAATTAAAATCTTAAAAAAAAAAAAAAAGTCAAACATGGCAGGAGGTGAAAAACTTGGACAGTGAACATCTACCAGGCTCAGTGATATAATTATTAGTATTCTCCTATATTTGCTTTATCATCTACCCATCCACCTACCAATCATGTTATCCTTTTATACATTTTATTTATTTTTTTAAAGATTATTTATTTATTTATTTGCAAAAGAATGAGTGAGAGAGAGCATGAGAGAGGAGAAGATCAGAGAGAGAAGCAGACTCCCCAAGGAGCTGGGAGCCCGATGCGGGACTCGATCCCGGAAGTCTGGGATCATGACCTGAGCTGAAGGCAGTCACTCAACCAACAGAGCCACCCAGGCACCCATCCTTTTATACATTTTAGAGTAACCTCCAAACATCAATACCCGTAACCTCAAAGTAAGTTAGCATGCACATAATTAACTGGTTTCACTACGTTAGTTTTTTAAGGTAAAACTGACATACACTGAAACACTTCAAAACTTCAGGTGACCATTCAATGGCTTTGATAAAAGCAAAACTGTATAACCCAAACCCCTGTTCAATACATAGAACACTTCTATCAGCCCAGCAAGTCCTCCCTTGCCTAGAGACAAATAAGTCTTTTCCATCACAGAGTTTATGTGTTTATTTAGCTATTCTAGCATTTCATATGGAAAACCTCCTACAGTACTATTCTGCGTAAGGCTTTGTTCACCAGAAAGTGCTTCTCAGATTCATCCATGTTGGTTCATGTTATTGGTTTATGTCTTCTTAAAGGTGAGTACGTATTTGACTGTAAAAATATACCACAATTTCTTTATTCATTTTCCCACTGGTGAATAATAGGGTTGTTTTCGGTTTGGGCTACTTAGTATAAAGCTGTTAAGAGTAATACGTACAAGTCTTGGGGAAGGGACACAGCCTTTGATTTTTCTTGGGAAACATCTGGGTCAAGGGGGTAAATATATGGTTATTTTATAAGAAAGAGAACAATTTCAAAAGTAGTTGTACCATTTTATACTTGCATTAAAAATGTATGAGTGTTTACTATAATGCATGCACATATCTGCATTTGCAAACTGTTCATTTTTTGCAATTTTTTTAATGGATTGTCTGGCTTTCTGTAACAGAGCTACAAAAGGTTCTTTATGTATTCTGGATTTAAGTCTTTTTTTAGATGTATGATTGTAAATATTTCTCCCCAGTCTGTAATCTGCCTATTAATTTTTAAGTAGTCTCCTAAATACAATTTTAATAAAATCTCTATCAATTTTCCTTTAAACGATTGTTGCTTTTTATGTCCTAAGAAACTCTTTATCTATCCCCAGGTTATGAATATGTGTTTTCTTCAAGATGCTTTAATTGTCAACCTTTTCATTTGAGTCTATAATATCTCTCAAATTAACTTTGGTACACAGTACAAGGTTGAGGTTGAGGTTCATTTTTCTCCTTTAGGGATATTCAGTTGTTCCAGCACCATTTTCTGAACAGATAC